ATTTGTTAAATCGAGCATGAAAATGTTGTAGCTCCCATTGAGTGCCTGCATTTTGACGTCAACATCCGGGACATCGACCATGAGCTTTGTCGAAAAAGAACTAGTTGCCGTGTTTGTACTAGCATATTTTGCTAACCAAAATTGTTGAGTTATGGTTACCCTAAACTAGAAATAGTCGGTAAGTTCCATCGTATTTCGTATGTATTGTAATTTCGCTTGCTAAAGGTGTAATTTATGTTCGTAGAAAACCTGCCTTATTGCCTAACTGGGTGTTTACTCGGCCTGCTTACTGGAACATTTGTGGATTTTCTTTGGAATACCTGTAAATAATTTGTTGAGTCTTACGCTTATGTGGTTCTGCGAACTGCGTAATAAACATTTTTCCAAAATCTGATGAGCCAGTATCCATATTGCATAATTTTCTGACTAGCAACTTGGTTTACTTCAATGTCATTAAGCATTAAGTAACTAACAATGTCCCTGAATAATAATAAATAGGCCGGAACACACGAACGAAAGCAAAATTATTTGGTAGCTCAGGAATGAAGTACAAAATAGTAATAAAACTAGTAATGATCAAAGATTAGTAAAGTGCGTTCGATCTCTAGTAAATTTTTTTGTACTGATTGCGCAGAAAAAAATCGGTCTCTTCAGCTCAAGGCGTCACGATCGATCCCTTTGGGACTGGTCCATAAAACCCTCGAGAATGATTTCCGTAAAAACGAAACGCCTTTAGTATGCCTTCCCCTTCGTCGAACGCAAATATTTTGTTCTGTACATAATTTTTCATGCTAGGAAAATTGTGTTTGCACTACGAGATAATAGACCACTCACAGCTTGAATGTAAAGCCTCAGTCACATCTTTCCATTCCAGACATCTCTTCGAAAACTTTCACGGCCTGGCGACGATAACAACTGAGGAGAATAGAAAAATATATTTACATCATCTGGGGTTATTTTACTTTTACTGTTACATTTAAACTTTCATTCATGAAGTCAGTATATCTTAAAGAGCTCCAATTCATCAATTTCAAATCTCAAAGCATGATGAACACATATCTTTTGGTAACCATGCATAAGTTTACATTTTCGATTCAACGAAGTTTTAAATTTCCTCTCAACACTGATTATCTGTATGTAGATGGTGCCTGCAAGAGATTTTCAAAAAATCCGTCGACTGTTATGAAAATAAAGAATTTAATATCAAGCTAAATATGATGACTTCATCAATGGTCTCACAAGATCTTATGATTTTACAATAACATGGCCACAAACACAAAATTCGAATACACTTAAAAAAGGTAGATACCCGATGAAAAAGACCTATTGCCCTCCTGATCTCTAAACACATTAGTTACAGTCGCTTTCTCCTGTTTCAATACAAATATCTTCGGTTTTGCTACAAGACTACTTTATAACACTTACAGCGTGGGCAAGCGATGTCTCACTTGAAAGCACATGGAATTGAAGGGAAAGCACAAAGTAAATTGGTTATTCAGTGCAAATGATAAATATTATTTATATACTTATACAGCGCCACGTTTCGAGTTAGTTACCGCACATACAAAAGTAGTTAAAACCTAATTATCAAAAAGTTTGTTACAAAATCTGTTCCTGTGACAAATCGCAAGGGATCGTTAAACATTTAACCAATTTTCTTTCCCAGTGTTCCTTTTCAACATTCTTTGAAAGGTCTATGAAGCTCCTTTCTCGCAGCTCCTTTGGGAGTTTTCCTCTGTCCACATCATCAAGTTTGATAACGACTAAACTGTTATCTCTCCTTTCCATGAGTCGGTGAAGGGCGTAATCCATTTCAGAACCGCAATAACTGCTATTGAAAAAGTTATTAGACACCACAGCTATTGTTTTTCTTGACTTGTAAACACTGTTGACCATATTTTCACGAAAAGGTACTCCGACAACGAAATCTCTGTAGTGTACACAGCATTTAAAACCGTGCTTTTCCTCCAAAGTTAGAATTAGAGTTTTAGTCACCCAATCCGAGTCTTGGGAGCTGAAAATAACGAACGCGTCGTATTCAAATTCAAGTTCTGAAAGCAAAAAATAAGGACATGTTGTTGGCTGAGAGTTCTATAGTAAAAATTTATTGGAGTAAGATTTTTAATCAAAACCAGTTGAGGTGATTCCTCAGAAAAAAATAAAGTTATTGAACAATTCTTTTTCGACTTTCTTCAAATGTTCCCTTCCAATGTCTGTTTCGAAAAGTACAATTTCAAAGGTAGGTCACCATACTCGTTTAAGAGATATGATGAGCCAAACGTACCCCACTTATGCCTATTCTAGCACTAATCATGCGCGTCATTTCATTGATTCGCGGCACATTTTGCTGCAGCTGGAAGCAAGGGTGGCTAAAGTAACATTTTAAAACTGAAAAACTCGATAAGTTGAAAGTCTTGAACGTATAGAACAATTTGATATGTAATTTGCGAAAAAATCATGCAATTTTAAATGACATCAACTCAAAACGTTCCTCGAGTCGTTGTTTTTAAGTCATAATTTACATCATCGAGTAACAGTCTCTGCACGATATTAGCAATATCTTTTTTTCCAATTCGATGAATGTTTTTTAATTTGCCCAATTTAAAGGGGAGAATTTATAAACAATAATTGTGCAATTAAAAAATATGGGGTCACCATGCTCGTCCACGAGCTAAAGACCATCCTACCTCATTATGCAGTCCCCTTATTGAAAAACAATACCGTATTCTCGGAATATGCGCGCGCTTACTCGCCTGATTACGTGATTTTTATGCCCAATACAAGATGCACAGTTCAATACCGAGGAATCACCTTAATAATATTAAAAATATGGCCCAGCACGGTTAAAACTCATAATGAGATCAAAGGGCGTTCTCTGACTCAAACACGCGAGCTTTCGGCTTTCAGTACAAAGCCTACACAAACAAAGAAGTAACAAAGAGATCTTTAAACCTCTAACCCAAGTTAGACTAACCTGACATTGAAATTGCACTATTCACGGGCTCCTTGGATCGGGATCGACGGCGCCAGCAGATAAAAGATAAAGCAGCTACGGTAATTAGCACGCCTGCCGAGACGATTCCAGGGACAAGAGCATCGCGAGCCTTATCTGAGGAACGGATACGTTTCAAGGTTATCATTTCTTATCATCAAAGACTTCATACGCAATAGAAGTCAGGAGGAACTAGAATATGAACATGCAAGGTCACACTGGGAGCAGGGTTTTGACGAGATGAGCTGGTGTTTTCTTAGTACGAGTTGGAGGAGATGGCTGCACCTCTAACTCTTCTCTCTTAGCCATTCGCATCATGCCACGAGTATAGGTTTTCAATCGAGCCCATTGCCGAAATTCCCAAACGTTGGTCCAGCTATAAAGAATAAAGGTGATATCCGCAAAAACAACAACATGTTAAGATGATAGAGAACGACCTTAGTCTGTGTAGATTGTAACTATTCACCGAAAAATGAGAACATGTCGCATTTCGTACAAAATTATAGCAGTTCATGCGCAATAGTGGTGATAGGATCAAGTGGATTCCACTTCGGTATGTAATTATACTTTTGATTAACAAATCGGACGAACGCGAAGCGATTTGTTAATCTCGACCAATTAATCATAACAATCACGATTTCCGATAAAAATACATTAAGAACAATTGTCTCAAGTTGAAAATTCCTCCATTTTGGAAATTCCCCAGTTTTTCTCAGGATAAGTGGTTGTTGCTATGGTTATTGTGATCAATTTTGTTATAAGTTGATTAGCTTAGTGGACTAAGTAAGATTGGCTTCTTCAACTGTCAGATAACACGTGTCCGATTACAGCCAACTGTCATGTTACACTGTCCGATTACAACTCTACAAAATAATTAGTGAAAAATAAAGCGTTAGTGCACCAATCACATTTGAGGAAATTGTAATGGTTATGATTAACCTACAAATAGTTTCCTGTAAATTCAACAATATTTGGCTGTTTGGGAACGTCCAGAGACTAAAGTAGTAGGAACTTAACTAATTTCGTTGTCTTGCTCTGCCGGCAAGGTTTTGTTTTTAAAGCTTTCCCAACCGAAAGGAGCTGAAAGTTTTGGAAAAGTAACTGAGGCCAACACTTATTATAAGCAGAGCTTGTTACATCCAAGTTTCTAAATACAGGAACAGCTAGTTTGTTTTAAATGGATTTTACTTTTTCAGTTTTCTTCCTCTATCTCATATCCTGTTAATCCTGTTTTTTTTTCTCAGTGTCTAATGTCTCAGGATTAGATCCTAAAAAATGCAGCTAAGCGACGTGGGAATTTCTTTAACAAATATTACTTACTTTAGTAAATAGTAGTAACTTTAATAAATATTTATAACTTGAGAGCAGCCACTGTGATACATCGCTTACATTCAGCCTTGAATTAAGGCAAGCTCATAAGAGTATTTTAATCTAGTGGTTTTATGTTGAACAGCTCAAGGTTAACCAAGCCTCCTTAACATGAAGTGATTAGATGTATTACAGTCTACTTCCCATGAAATGATCGTCGAGTGATCATGCAAATTTCCTCCATTCAGCAGAAGAAGTTTGCTTCATAACCCACAATATTTTTATTCTCCCGGCGCCATTTCAAAACGTTTTTGAAATCAAGAAACTGAAAACGCGGTCTAAGATTCTAAATAGTAACCTAGCTTTCACATAACAGTCTTCAAATGCATTAGGAATATGACCACCAACCCCGCATTTTTATCGCGCTTGGCAGCCTAGGACGCATATTCCTTTTTTACTTCTTGACAATCTGCTTTAAAAGTAAAGAGCTACACAAAAAAGGTATTTGTAATCTAAGATAAAAACTTCTTACCAAGCGAGCGAAAGGGCCGTACTGGGAAATATTGGCCCAGGTCTTGGCAGTCTGGACCAATTGCAGCCAGGTTCTTACAAAAAGCGACTGGGGGCCAATATTCCCCATTGTGGCTCGAGCAAGCGAGGTTATTGAGTTAAATTTGTTCTATAACTTGCTTGCTTATCAAAACAAAAATACAGGGCGTATGACCGTTTCCGTGGAAACAGTCCGTACGGCAAAATACCGACCAAGTAAGAACCGATCAGAACGCTCGGATCTACTTCAAGACTACCTTGCTATATAATAACTAGAAGTAATTAAGTTATATAATATATCAATGAACTGTACCTCCTAAAACATTTGTAGGTGAAGCCGTTGGATCTGAACAAAAGAAAAAACTGTTTTTTCACACAACAACTACCAATGACCAATACCCCAGGGCTAATAAGCAAATTCCTTTCTTTTTTCATATCATACTTGCAAAACGTTTCCTTTAAACTCAAAAGCTGGACAAGATGAAGAGCACTGAAACAACCTTACACCAAAATACAATTTTCAACTCTAACTATGGAACATTTAGATATCAAATAGTTTTCCAATAACTAAGATCACAGCTCTCCTTTCGAAGTCGATATTAAATTAAAAGATCTTTGATGTGCTCCAGAGATACCAGCTTTTTCACACACAGTTAAAGGAAAACAAAAACAAAAAGTAGCTCGCTTAAGCAGGTAAAGTTTTCGAAAATATTCAATGTTGGATCATAAACAAAAGTTTTTTATTTAATAAAACTCATCGATAGATTTTTCCTCCACGTTAGTATTTTCTTTCTTTTTCTGTTGTATTGAGTGGAAACGAAATCAAATCATCACACAAACAACAAACCCAATTTAATATTTGCTCAAAATTTCAAAAACTCTTACCTTCAACAATCAACCTCACTGTGCAATTTAATTTTCCATAGCTATTGGAAGCCAAGCAAACAAACGTTCCACTGTCCGATTTAAGAACGTCCGTAATTTGCAGATACCAATGTGATTTTACAAAATACCGATCAGAGGGCAGATGAATCTTTCTCTCATCCTTATACCAAATGTAATTTTTAGCATCGCTCACGTTACAGATCAGCTTGACTTCCTTTTCTCTCATTTGTTCAACGAGCCTTGGAGGAGACGACCGCCTCAACTGGGGCGCAGCTGTAGCATAAGACACAAGAAAATCTAAAACTTCAATGTTTGGTCAAAAACAACAGTTGTACTTTTTATAAAACTTATCGATAGATTTTTCCTCAACTTCAGTATTTTCTTTTTCGTACTGAGCGGAAAAATCGCATCTTCTCATTCATGAATGAACACTTTTTATACTCACCACATCCTCTCTCATCGGATCCATCACCACAATCGTTTTTTCCATCACATTGCAAATGACCTTGTATGCAGTCTCCATCAC